AAATAAATAATTTTTTTTATTTATTTTGGTACTGGGAATCAAACTTAGGACCTTGTGCTCGCCAGGCAGGAGCTGTACTACTGAGCTGTACCCCTGGCCCGGGTGAACCTTTTAGAGCTTTCAGCGATATAGCCCCTGCTGCAGTGCGCATGCCCTAGGTCACCACCACCAGTCTAGGCCAGGACCTTACAGCTTCCTCTTTGGGATATGTCTGCATGCCACATGGCACATGCATTGTCTTAGTTCAGCCTCATCCACCATCGTGAGGACACAGGTTCAGACAGCTCTTATAGACCAGACAGGGCTTCAGGCTGCAGGTAAGCCTTCCCCACGGCACAACCGGAACTGGAGGCTGAGTGCAGGGCCTTCACTGTGAGCAACATCCCCATCCCTTTTTTACTTTTGATTGTGAGGCCAGGTCTTGTTGAGTTGCCCAAACTAGGTTTAAACTTGAGATTCTCCTGTTTCAGGCTTCTTAGTGCTGGGACTGTAGGCATGTGCCCATGCTTTCCTAAATCTGGACCTTTCTGAATGTCACATATCTTCTGTATTCAGAATGCCTTTGTTGGCCTGGGCACTCTCAGGCTCTATAGTGTGGGATAGCAGCAGAGTTAAGAGCAAGGATGCTGGAGCTAACGTGTGGGGTTCAAATGTGCCTCAGTCCCTTACCCCGCTGTATGGGATAGTGGTAGGGGATAGGACTAGGCTTTTGTAAGGACTGAATGAGCTGGGCATGGCACAGTGCCTGCCCGTGCCTGACACCTGATCACCCTCCCCCCCATGGCAGCAATTACCGTAATACCTGGGGTATCACTCAGGCTGGGTGTGGACCAAGGAGGGTGTCTGGCACCTGCTAAGCACAGCAGCCTGGAAGGAAGCTAGCCCTCATGGGTTAACAGGAGCCCATGAGGGCACTGTGGCCCAGCATGAGTAGGGTTTTCTGGACTGGTTTTGTGCCTGGAATGACTGGGCACACAGGACTTATGCTACAGATATGAGCCTCTCATCACTGAGTCAGCAGCAACCAATGACTGGGATTTGAAAAACCATGATGCTAAGGGTGACAGGGGATGCCCCATGTAGAACCCAAACGTTGAAGAAGGACAGTTGGCATGGCCAGCATTTGGAAAATGTACCAGCCAGTAGCAGGCAGGGAGCTCAGCAGGGACTCTTCCTGAGTCTCACACCATCCCTGGCTCTGGGGGCAGACTTGTTTCCCTCATTCCTCCTCGCTACTAAGTGCTGCTAAGTGAAGGCTTCTGGGAATCGGCTTCCCAGCCAGAACCGGCAGTCACCAGGCCTGCTAAGCACAGCCCACTGCAGGGACCCTTCCATCCCATGCCTCAGCAGGGCTGTCTGTGGGACACATTGCTTTGAGACTTGAAAGGAATATGGGTAATGGTTTGCTTGCTTCTTTGTTTTTGCTGAGTTTAAAAATGATCTACTGTGGGGCTTGGGGAGATGGCTCAGTAGAATAAGCACTTGCCTGGCAAGCACAAGGGCTGGAGTTCAATCCCTGGTTGCGCCAAAAAAATAAATAAAATAAGATCTATTATGTATGTGTACCAACTCCCACCTACGGTGAATGTAATCATTATGTACTACAAACATGTATACTATACTAAGAAAGACAGACAGACAGACACAGAAAGAGAGAAAGAAAAGTAAAAACCAAAAAATAAATAGCTTGCCAGGCATGGTGGTGCACCCATGTAATCCCAGTACTCAGGAGGCCAAGGCAGGATCATCAAACATTCAGGGCCAGCCTGGGCTACAAAGTGAGTTCAGGGCCAACCTAAACTGTGTGGGGAAACCCTGCCTCAGAAAAGACCAAAAATAAGATAAAATTTTAAAATAAATAGATAAAAATGAACAAGGGCTGGGACTGTAGCTCAGTTGCAGATTACTTAAAAGAATGTATGCAAGGGAGACTCTTGATTTAATCTCAAGCACTGCAAAAATCAAAATAAAAATGAAACTTAGTCCAGGTGTGGTGGTGCACCTCTGTAATCCCAGCACTAGGGAGGCACAAATTAGAAGGATCACTACGAGTCCAAGCTACATAGTGAGATCCTGAAAAAAATAAAATAAAAATGAAGCTGGCTATGGTGCACATACCCATGATCCCGGTAGTTAGGAGAATCATGAGATTGAGGTCAGCCTGGACTGCGTAGTAAGACCCTTCCTCAAAACCTGACAGTGGGGCTGGTGAGATGGCTCAGTGGTCTGAAGCACCTACTTACAACAAGCTAAGCAAAGCACAGGGACCGCGGTTCAATCCCCCAGCACCACATGCCAGCCAGCACCGCCCCCTGGTGGGCTGAGCTGGACACACACATAAATAAAATAAATTTAAAAAAAAAAAAAAAACCTGACAGTGGGACCGGGGAGATGGCTCAGTAGAATAAGCACTTGCCTGGCAAGCACAAGGGCCTGAGTTCAATCCCCGGTTCTGCCAAAAAAAAAGCCTAACAGCTGGGTGTGCTGGCATGCCTATAATCCTAGTATCTGAGAGGGTGCATCAGGAGGATCCCTGCAAGTTCAAGGCTCCACAGGATGTTGCAGGCCAGCCTGAGCTATACACTGGCACCCCAGCTCAAGAAAAGAGAAAAGAGAGACACATCCCATTAGCACAGCTGTGCACTTAGGAAATGTAGGCAAATTGTATATTTTTTTTATTACTGTATGGAGAAAGCTATCATATCCTAAATTAAAAGTGAATGATAGTATTAAATCTAAACTAGGAACGTTAAACAGTTTATAACTCTGATAAACTGTGTTAATAAACAATTATATTGAACAGCATAATATTTTTAAGCTAGGAAACATTAAAATTAACTAGATATCAACTTAATCAGTTTTGTACTAATATTATTAATTTAATATTAAAGCAGTATAAAAACAAAGTACAAGAAGTAAAGCCATGTTGTTATGTTGAGCTGTAGGGGACTTAGGTCAACAATTTCTGACACTGAAGCTGGGGAGATGGCTCAGTGGAATAAGTGCTTCCCTGGCAAGCGCAAGGGTCTGAGTTCAATCCCTGGTTCCACCAAAAACAATTTCTGACACTGCCAGTCAAGCGGAAGACCCAATTATTATGGACTACGGGACTCTTTTAGAATATTTTTGCTGAGTTAACACACCCATAATATTCAAATGATGGAACTAAACAAAAAAGAGGAAACATAAATGAATGTCCATTTTGTATCTGAGTATTCATAATGGTTCCGATAGATACATAGTTACATTCTCTTAATGAATAGAGTGATTTGTTCTAATGGTGTTTGTAAATAGGATATCATGTCTGCATCTTGTACAGCAGTTAACCACTAGGAAGACAGTATGCAATGTGTTAATTATTGAAACTGTCCTACCAATTTGATTTGAAACTGTCTCATTGCTATTTGTTTCTCAATAAAATTATGGAAAAAGATAATACTAAAGCATAGTAAAGACCAAGAAAAATAAAAAACAGAAAATAGTACAAAGGACTAAATATTGTAGATATTCCAGTGCAGAAAAGAAGTATATATATATATATATATATATATATATATGTTTGAATGAGTTCAATACAGAAAAAATGGATTCATAGAAACAGAGCAACATTAAAACCAAGCAATTATAGGGGCCAGGGAGATGGCTCAGTGGAATAAGTACTTCCTTGGCAAGTGCAAGGGCCTGAGTTCAATCCCTGGCTCTGCAAAAAAAAAAAAAGCAGTTACATTGAAAGAAGAAGAAAAGAATTAAATGAACTCTAAATCAAATAATGTGCTTTTGCAAAATTATCAAAATACTCTTTAGATTTACATGCACACAGAATATCTGAAAAATAAGGCAGTTATTTCTCACCCATCCATGAATTATGTGTGTTTATTGTTAATTCTATTAATAAAATTCACACTGTTACTGTGGGAAATAAAAAACCTATAGTCTCCTGTCCCCAGGACTCTGGCTCCCTCAAAAGCAAGTGACTCATGCCAGCTCACAGGCCCAGCCAGGGAAGACCTAGCGGTCTTGCTGGAAGGGAGCAGCATGTGCAGAGCCCAGGCGCCCCAGGGCCTAGACCTGCACCTTTGTCACAAAAGAGCCCTCAGCAGTTCCCTTGCTTTCTACAGCTCTGATCGCGTCCCTCAACCAGAAACCACAGTCTGCTGGTGAACAAGCCCATCCCACAGATGCCACCCACACAACCCACAGGAAAGCAGGAGGGAGCAACACCCCCTCAGCCAACGGGGAAGCTGGAGGAGGAGGAGGAGGAGAGAACACCAAAGGCTACACCGCAGAACAGGTGGCCGCAGTGAAAAGGTGGGGCCAGGCCGGAGCTGCTTTTCCAGGGGCAACCTGCAGCCTTCCCATTGCACTGAGCCCCTTCTGCCTGGAGGAAAGACATTGGCCTCCTTTCCCATAAGGCCCTGGGACAGTGTGGGAAGAAGGGCCCCACTGTCCATCCACAGCAGAGGCAGAAGTGCTGACGAGCTGCCATCTCTGCCTTTGGGCCGTGGGCCCCAGGCCTCTACACAGCTCTGTTTGTCAGGCAGAAATGAAGCCTGATCTCGCCTCCACATCTCCCCAGCCCAACAATGCCCTTTACAGCCCGGAGCCTTCTGGAGCAGAGTGCAGACAGGAGGCTGGAGGCAGGCCTTGTGCAGAGCAGCTCAATCCCAGGCCAGAGGAGGTCAGGCTAGGGCTTCCAGGACTGTAGTGTCCCCACCAGCTAATCTTGGAGACACTCTAGAGGTCGTACTCCATCTCCTGACAAGCTTAAGAACCAATAGTATCAGCTGTAGTTTGTCATAAACCAGGCCAGGCTTAGCCAGATAAACCCAACACTTGTAGATGATAAGAACTTCATAGAAGAGTTTGGAAAGCCCAGAGGAGGCCAAGACCTGGAGCATTCAGGGACCCAAAAGTAAGAAGGACAGGGCAGTTATATCCTGTGTTTCTCACAGCTCTGTGCTTGAGTGACACACACCATTTCTAGCTCTTCTGTTACCCACTCAAGACTCAGGTGGCCAGGGCCAGCCTAATAGCTCAGCGGATTAAAGTGCCTGCAAGCATGCGCAGGGGCCGGGATTTTGATCTCCAGGCCTTCCGTGCTGGTGCCACCCCTGGGGCACACTGAGACGGCAGTTGAGACTGGAAGAGACTGGGCGTGGTGGCACGCGCCTGTAATCCCAGCTCTTGGGAGGCTGTAAACCGGTGGATCACTTATGAGTCCAATCTAGTAGTGAGACCCTGAGCACCCTGTAGACCCTTCCCTAAAATACAATAAATAAATAATAAGACTCAGGTTGCCAAGAAAGGATACAGTTGGGTGAACACAGGACTCACCTGCCCATGGATGGTAGACACAGTCTTTCCGAGGTCACCTCCCAGGAGGGATCTGTGAGCAGAGGGCTATGGGTGCTGGTCTGACTAAATTAGCAGCTGCCCTTTTGAGCCCTAAACGTGTCCCTTGTGTTTGCTCTGGGCCCTGGCCAGCGCCCACCCCAGTTGGAGCTCAGCGTGGCTCCTTTGTCCCTGACCCAGCAAGCAGTCTGCAGTTCCTTGGTGCTGGCCCATGGAAGGCAGCCCTCTCATGCCCTTCTCACCCCCCAGGGTCAAGCAGTGTAAGGATTACTACGAGATCCTAGGGGTGAGCAGAGGAGCTTCGGATGAGGACTTGAAGAAGGCCTACCGCAAGCTGGCCCTCAAATTCCACCCGGACAAGAACCATGCGCCTGGTGCCACAGAAGCCTTCAAAGGTAAGAGGTCCTGGTGCCCGGTATCACAGAGCTTTTAGCTCTTGTCCTTGGAAGCTTGTCCTTGGTTGGACACAGCTTTCCCAGGAAATGGGGCCTGCAGGAAGTAGTCTCAGGCCCAGCTCCACAGTCTCAGGTTTTACTTCCCATGACGTAGTAGCCACCTGCAGCCACATAGAATCTGTCAGAGTTCACAGTGCCCCTCCTGCCCTCCCCCTTATTCCTGGTGCTCTGGGAGGGGCCTGAGGCATGAGACTTCTAGTGGCTCTTCAGTCCTAATAGCACCGGGCAGAGCAGCCCCAGTCAGGTACTCCCGGTCAGGCAGCAGCCTCTGTGCCAGAGGCCTGAGCCAGCTCCCCTCGCAGATGTTTGCACCTCCAGGCCACAGTGGGGACACAGCAGCCTCTGGCCTCCAGGCCTGTGGGAAAGGCTGTGCCACTTCCACCCCAAATCAAGCCACCCTTGTTCTTTTAGATTTGCCCTCACCCTCTCAGGCACACGTGTGCACTGAGACTGTGCCAGCCCTGTGTTGCAGCTTCTCATTCCCACCTCACCTCCTCTAGGGCAGCCTTGTGCCTGACACCACCATGCCTGGGCTCTGAGCTGTGTAGTCCTAGGACCAGGCAGCCCTCAGGGCTAGAGGGAGACAGAAAATGCACAGGGGGCAGGACCACCATGAGGAATGTTCCTCCTGAGCCCATTCAACAGGACCCAGAGGCTGGAGGTGGCAGTGGGGACTGTCAGGCTGTGGGGCAGATGTGGCTGTGATCAAGGGGGCGGCTTCACGAGCTGGAGCCTGGGGAGGACGCAGAGCTGGTGGCCTTGGGGACATGGACGCCCTGCCAGGAAGCTCTGGAGGGAAGGCCACAGGTCCAAATAGGGCCCTGGTCCCCAGGAAGAAGGGCTCTCACCCTGGCCACACTATCAGCCACAGAGTCTTGACCAGAAGCTGGGATTGGCCCTTTCTGTCAGTCCTCACCACCTTCCAGTGTACAACAAAGACTGCATGTATGTGTCAGTTTGGCCCATGTCCTACCATGACTTCAAGTTCTGTTGCCACCAGGCAGGGATGTCCCATCCCTATGGGCATCTCGAGACAGATGAGTGAGGAAAGGGCTTTGATGGTTTTCCATAATGTCAGCTAAAAATCTTGAAGCAAGGCACACCTGCAGCCTCAGAGATGGGTGAGCTTCGTAAGTCCCTGGTCTTCCCAGAGCTTCAGTGCTGCCCTAGACGAAATGGCATCAAGGTTGTTGTTAGGAGCAGTTGACACAATGCCATCAAGGACTGCACACAGTGTGGAGGGGGACTGCCAGAGCCTAGGCTTTGCCCTGTAGCATCCAGGCTTCTGCAGCGCCACCCCGAATGTGCCCCAAGGACCCCACAGCAGCACCTGAGCTGAAGCCAGCACTAGCCTCCCAGGCCTGACCTTTCTGTTCCCTTCCCAGCCATTGGCACAGCATATGCGGTACTTAGCAACCCGGAGAAAAGGAAACAGTATGACCAGTTTGGTGATGACAAGGGCCAGGCTGCCCGGCACGGCCATGGGCACGGGGACTTCCACCGTGGCTTTGAGGCCGACATCTCCCCCGAAGACCTCTTCAACATGTTCTTCGGCGGTGGCTTTCCTTCTAGTAAGTCCCCCACCCTCCTGCAGCCACATCTCCCCAGGGCGCTAAGAGACTGGGTGTCAGCCTCTCCCAGCAGACCCCCCCACCCTGACTCAGTCCCACTGACCCTCCAGGTAACGTCCATGTCTACAGCAACGGCCGCATGCGCTACACCTACCAGCAAAGGCAGGACCGCAGGGACAACCAGGGTGATGTGAGTGAAGAAGGGGCTGGCAAGTGCAGGGGAGGGTGCTGGGACCACCCCAGGGTGCAGCCCCCAGAAAGCAGTGACATCCCACACTGTCCCTCCTGCAACTCTACCAACAGCCATCCTGGCTCCTGCTTGCCATTCCTCTGAGTGACACCAGAGGGAGCCACACTCCAGCCACCTTGCCCTCAGTTGGGGAATTCGCTGGCCTCTGCTAGGAACTAACACAGAAAGTTCACCTACATTTTAGGGCCTAGCATTTGTGCCGTCCATTTGTTCGTAAGGCCAAAGTGACATTTTCCAAGCAAATGAGAATTAAAATTCCTGAGAATCCTACAGAATGCCAACAAAGGTGCTTCTTAGCACTTTTAAACAGTGCTTCTAACTATTCTTTTTTGGCTTGTGATACTGGGGAGCCAGCGGGAGCGGGGGTGGGGCACTTGCATGGAGCTGCTAAAGCTCAGCCTTTTTTTTTTTTAGACAGGGTCTGGCTAAATTGCCCAGGTGGGACTTAAACTTGCAATCCTCTTGCCTCAGCTTCCCTAAATACGGACATTCCAGGCCTGTGCTGCCATGCCCAGCTCAAACACATTTTTTAAGCCACAGATCAACAGCAGGCATTAAAACAGTGCAAAGGCTGGCAGCAGAGAGTATTCGTGCTCTGTTAGTTAGTATTTGTTCATTTCTTTAAAACCTTGGTGCTGGGGAGATGGCTCAGTGGAATAAGCACTTCCCTGGCAAGTACAAGGGCCTGAGTTCAATCCCTGGTTCCACCAAAATAAATAAATAAAACCTTTATTTTGGGCCAGGAAGATCGCTCAGTAGCGTAAGCTCTTGCCTGGCAAGTACAAGGTCCTGAGTTCAGTTCCTGGTACTACCCCCCCCAAAAAAAACACTTTATTTTGTACTTAACATACAGAAAGAAGAGTTTCTGCAATTACAAATCATCATACAATGTTTTATTATTGTTTGCCCCCCCCCCACAAACTGGGATTGAAATCAGGCCCTTGCTCTTGCCAGGCAAGTGCTTATTCTACTGAGCCATCTCCCTGACCTGTTTTTTTGTCTTTTTGAGACAGGGTCTCACTATGCAGTTCAGGATGGCCTTAAGCTCTTTTCGTAGCCCAGGCTAGCCTCTAACTTTCAAGAATCCTCCGGCCTTAGCCTCCTGAGTGTTGGAATTACAGACATGCACCAACGTGCCAGGCTGTTTATTTTTATTTATTTTATTTTATTTTAATTTTTTGGCGGTAGCAGGGATCGAACTTGCACTTGCCAAGCAGGTGCTTACTCCACTGAGCTATATCCCTGGCCCCCCAGGCTGTTTATTTTTTTTTAGAAAGGATCTCACTAAGTAGTTGAGGCTGACCTCAAACTTCCAGTGAGGGGCCGGGGAGATGGCTCTGTGGAATAAGCGCTTCCTTGGCAAGCACAAGGGCCTGAGTTCAATCCCCGGTTCCGCAAAAAAAAAAAAAAAAAAAAAAAAAAAACAACTTCCAGCGAATCCCTTGCCTCATCTTCCCAAGGGCTTAGAATTACAGGCACACACCTGCAATCTCAGCACTTGGAGTGTTGAGGCAAAAGGATCACTGGGAGCACCACACCCGGCCACACAGTGATTTTATTAATTTTTATTTCTATTTTGGATTTTGTTTTTCTAGTCCTGGGCATTGAATATAGGGCTATGCTAAGCAAACACTCCACCACGGAGCTGCACCCCTAGCCCTATTTCTAGGTTCTAATTGGTAGTATATTTGTACAGTTCGAAACTCAGAAATGGATGCATAGGAACAGCCTCCCTGCAGCCCCACCCTATTCTGGAAGCAGCCACTTGTGTGGATGTGGAGTTCACTCTCAAAAGTCAGTGCATACCCCACTTCCTCCAGAGACTGCTGTGTATTTCTCTGGGAAAGCTGGCAGGTGAAGCAGCGTCTGTACTTAGGGAATGTCCAGAGGTGAAGGGGGTGTGGGCTGGCCTCCCAGGCTCCATCATGCCCAGGCCAATGGCAGGTGTACACCTGGGTGACAGTAGCTCTCCCTCCAGGGCGGGCTCGGGGTATTTGTCCAGCTGATGCCCATCCTCATCCTGATCCTCGTGTCAGCTCTTAGCCAGCTCATGGTCTCCAGTCCACCCTACAGCCTGAGCCCGAGACCGTGAGTACCTGTTCAAGGCTGGGTCAGAGTGGTGGGCAGGCCGGGCTTGGCAGTCTCAACCTTGTCGGGGTTTTCTTTGCTACCCAGATCTACCAGGTTCATGAACACAAGGCAGGAAGCTGGATTAGAGTGAAGGAAACACAGTCTGAACCAGGTGTGATGATATACCCCTGTAACCAACCCAGTGGCTCACAAGGCTGGGGCAGGAGGATACAAGTTTGAGTCCAGCCTGGGCTACTTAGTGATTTAGTGAGACTGTATCTCAAAGTAAAAAATAATAAACGGGCTAGGTGTGTAGTTCATTGTGAAGAACCTGGATTCTTTCCCCAGTATCAGAAGATGGAGGGGAAGGAGCTAGAGGAGAGGAGAGGGGAAGGAAGGAAAAAGAAGGAGAAAAGGAAAAGAAATGAGAACAAGAAGCAGCAGTCTCTCAAGCTGAGCCTCGTAATCATTTTAGGATCGTGGCCCCCTAAGAAAAGGCAGTGTCCAGCAGACCTCCCTAGAGCAGAGCACAGTTTTACATGTGACCTGAGGTTCTGTAACTCCCTCCTCCTGTCTTACCTGCTGACCCTAAAATTATCCTCTGCTCATAATGTTCTGGTTAAAAGGCTGGGGTATGGCTCAGTGCTGCAGTGGTTGTGTGAGGCCCTGGGTTCCATCTACAGCTCTGCAAAAAAAAAAAAAAAAAGGGCCAGAAAGAGCTCAGTGGCCTAAAGCACCTACTTAGGCAAACTTAGGCAAGTGCAAGAACCATAGTTCAATCCCCAGCACTAATAGATTTTCAATGGTGTCACAGCAGAGAAACAGGCAGAAGGAAAAAGGGAAAGGCGCTTTATTATAAAGAGAAAGAGGCTTCATTATCTTGGAGGACACAGAATTTGGGCAGATAAGGAATTCTCTGGATTGGAACAAAGGGAGGCTGAGGCTTTTATGACCTGTTGCCAGGGGTGGGGTTTGAGGAGGATGTTTAGATACACCCAAGGAGCTGACTGGGGCCTTCCCTGAGGTGGCGGGAAAGGTGAGAGGAAACTGCACCCTGGGCTGAGTTGGAGAAGAAGGGGGGAGGTGGTCTCTGGGAAGATGAGCTGTTTTAAGGGCTTCAGTCATATTGGATGACCACCATAATAATTCATCAATTCATACTAGGGCCAGAACGTCTCAGGCACCACATGCCGTACCAGCCCCACCCCCAGGGTGGGCTGAGCTGGCCACAGAGTCCAGGCATAGTGGCACATGCCTGTAATCCTAGCACTGGGCAGGCTGAAAGCAGAAAGATCACTGTGAGTCCGAGCTGTGTAGTAGTGAAACCCCACAACAACTAAATACATAAAATTAAAAAAAATTTTTTTTTAAACTTTTTTTTTCAGTTGAAACTGAGACCTGAAGGCGCAGGGGTCCTGGAGTAAGAGTCTAGTGGGCTCTGAACCCCAGCTTCTCCAAGAACCTGTGACCCTAGGCACCATTCATGATGTTGGTTTCCTCAGCCATAAGATAGAAATGAATGATAAGGTCCACATGCTTGGGAAAATTAATGAGTAATGCACTGAAGTATGTAGCTCATTAGAAATGCTCCACGATATTTGGTGAATAAGTACTTGGTCTCAGCCGCCAGTAGTGAATTGGACAAGTTCGTGGACCCTTTGTCAGCTTCTTCCTTCCTTTCCAGTGCCCGGCACTCAGCCTCCCTTCCTGAAGCCCCTGCTCCCACCTGGCTGCTGCTGGGAACGGGGACTGGCAGGCTTCTCCCAAGCAGCAGGGGGCCATGGGACCCAGGGACGCTCAGCAGTGGCTCAGCCTTTCTGACCTGAGGCTGCCCCTTCTCCTGTGGGTAGAGAGATGAGGGGCAGCAGGGCTGGCAGGGGCAGTCCTTCCTGGATGGGGATGGTCGTTCCTGGAGCAGCGGCTCTGTGGCGGTGGAGGCTGTCTCAATCCTGTAGAGCCTGCAGCCAAAACAGGGAAGATTCAGCTCCTGGAATCTCTCAGAGTTTTGTTCCTTTCTTTAGTTCTGAGCATCCCAAGGCCTTATACACACTCTGCACAGGCTCTGTTCCCTAGCGTGGCCCAGCCCTGTCATTTTTGTCCCCGTGGCCCTTATCTGGGGAGGAGATACTCCTGGGGTGGAGGAGACAGAGCCACACTTCCTCCAGGACCCAACTTCCCAGACCAAGGCCTTGTCTAGGCAGCACTTCTCACAAGCGCCCATGTGGTAGCAAAATGGCTGGACCACGATTAGGAGGGAAGCAGCTGCTCCTGTACCCGTGTGGCACCTCCTGTCACTGGTCTTGGGCACCTGGACACACTGTATACCTGCATATGCTTTCTGGACAGCTCGGTGGGCCACATCCACAGGCGAGTCACTGACCACCTGAGTGTCATCTACTACGTGGCAGACACTTTCTCAGAGGAGTACACAGGTGCCAGCCTCAAGACTGTTGAGCGGAATGTAGAGGACGACTACATCGCCAACCTCCGAAACAACTGCTGGAAGGAAAAGCAGCAAAGTGAGTGTGTGTGTGTGTGTGTGTGTGTGTGTGTGTGTGTGTGTGTGTGTGGTTGGCAGAGCATCCAGGGACCAGACTTGGGGAACAGGGAAAGAAGTAAACCCTACTCACCATGCTCTGTGGGCTGTGTCAGCCCAGGCCACCTGGCACTTTCCTCCAGGCTCCCATAAGTCATAGCCGGGGTGAGTATTTAGATGGGCTGGGGCTCTCTGGCCACCCACTGTGTGTGCCCCAAGCTACAGGAAGTGGCCTGGATCGTCCCTCTCCCAGAGGGGTCCCATAGTCTCCGCTCCTCTAGGTTTCCCTGCCAGGGGCCAGCGTGCCCAAGCCCCTGGGCATCTTTCAGCCCACTTCTACCTGCCTCTTCCTCTCATGGCCCAGCAGGCTCTGGGGGGCACCGGGCATGCCTAACCCTGCCCTGTTGCTTTGCAGAGGAAGGCTTGCTATACCGGGCCCGCTACTTCGGTGACACAGACATGTATCACAGAGCACAGAAGATGGGCACTCCAAGCTGCAGCCGGCTGTCAGAGGTGCAGGCTTCCCTGCATGGATAGTCCTGGGCCATCCACACCATCCAGGCCCAAGTATGAGCCAGGGCTGCCACTGTCCTGCAATTCCTGGCAGCTTTGGCCGTGGGTACAAGGCGGGGCGGGGGGGGGGGGAGCCTGGTTAATGATGTCCCCAGCTCTCGCCCCTGTCCAGAGGCAGGATAGCTCTGGGGCCACAGGGAAACAGAGCAGCCATAGCCTCTGGTCCTATCTCTGTCACTACCCTGCCCTGCACTCTTCCCCTCCCCTCGGGCTATGGGCACCCAAGAGCCAGATAGGTGGGAGTCCACAGCTGTTGAGGGGTGGATGTGCTCCACTCCCACCATCAAGCCACGCAGTCCTTTCCTGTGTGCAGTTGGCATCTGTGTGTGGCACCAGGCACTGCTAGGCCCAAGACAGACTCCACTGCAGGACTCATTCGCTGGGCCAGGTAGAGAGCTCAGCAACATATGCATCTGCCTGCCAAGTGCAAGGTCCTGAGCCTGATCCCCCGTACAAAAAAAAAAAAAAAGAATTCACACATAGATTCCGCTCTACCAGAAAGAACTGGAGTGGTGGGCCAAGAGCGCTCCCACCTGCATCCTTTCCGGCAGGAGGACTTGGGACCAATACAGCGCAGCCGGCAGGGGGCAGGAGAGCCTGAGGCCGTTGCTCCTGAAGTGGGATGTGGGCATGCTCTAGAGCCGCTGCACCTGGCAGCCTGCAAGCCACAGGCATCCGGCCTCGCCTGCCCACCCAGCATCTGGCCTGTGGTCTGTGGAAAGGAACAGAAGGTCATGGGTTCAGGGCCAGATGCAGCCACTCAGCCCAGAAGGGGTGGGGAAAAAACGAAAGTGGCTGTGAGGGGTCACCCTGCCTCCCTGCTCCTGCGTGCAGTAGTGGGCTGTGTTCCCAGTACCCCAGAGTGGACGGCCTGTACGAGCCCAGAGCACTGTGGGCAGAGCTGAAGGGGCTGTTCTCTGCATCAGTGCCCTGCCCACTTCCCTCCCTCTCTGGGTTCCCTCTGCTCCAGTCCCACTGCGGAGCAGGTGCATGGACTGCTGTGCGGCTGCTTGTTTATGCGGCTGAGCTGAAGGCGAAGGGCTGAGACCTCCTGGCTAACTACCCACTTTCCTCCCCAGACTATGAAATCCCTGGAGAATTTCTGGTGACACTCACTGAGCCAAGGTGATGGACTGTATACTTAAGGAAAGACATACAAAGACAAAAAAATTAAAATGGAATTGGAGGCCGAACACCGCACAACTGCCCTCTCTCTCGCCCAATAAATGCAGAAAGGTCTTAGGACAGACAGAAAACCTGCTGCTTCCCTCTCTCCCAGGGCTGGCGGAGGCTCTGCATCGCGGGCTCCTAGGATACAGAAACCATGGCAACGAAAGTAGAATGTAAAACTTGCTGCGAAGGAACGCCTGGGGGAAGGGCTGGGAGAGGAGCCGCCCAGTCCCCCTTCTCCCCTCAGGACCCCCACCAGTCACCTGCAGAAGGAACTGGGCAGGGAGCTGACCGGGATAAATGAGGAAGAAGCCACAGAATGTAACTTCAAGATGAGTGAGATGTATATATATCTATTTATATGTAAATAGGCATATATAAAGATAGATATATATATATAGTATACTTTTTAAACTATGCAGTGATTGGGTTAAGTTGTTCAGCTGATTGCTTCTGTGTTAGGAAATGAGGCCTGTTTGGAGAAGACAGTTGGCAAAGCTAGACATTAGCCACAGCTGATGTCGTAAGAAAAGATGGGTCTCATGCTTTTAATGTCCCTCTCTCCCCAGCGCCAGACTGTCTCGGATGGTAGCAGTAATCATGATGGTATAAACCCATAGTAAACTTTGGAGGTTGCCAGGGTTATATTGAGCTGCAGAAGAAGCAGGGATGGAGCGGGAAACATGGCCCAGGGGGTAAGTCCCTGCTCAGTACTGAGCTACGGCACTGGGCTGAAGCCTCATGTCAGCTGCCACCCCATGGCCAGTTCTCAGCCCTGGTTCCAGGAGCCTTTGAGCCAGCAGGCTGCAGTGCTTAGCAGGGGCCAGGCCCTGCCTAACTTTCCCACCCAAGTCCCCGAGTGGGTTTTGCCTTAGCGGTGCCATAGGGCACAGCTCCATCAATGCCACCCTTTTCCTACGTCATGTACCAAGGACTCCAGAAGGCGCTTTCTCAGAATCAGCCCAGGACCCCAGGGCAGCAGCTAGGCCCATGAAGAAAAGCTCATGCCTGGGGCACCACCATCATCACCTGTCATGGATGTCACCAACAGGCCACGTATGTGGTGGCCAAAGGATGAATCTGAACCAAAAAAAAAAATTTTTTTTTTACCCTCCCTGTCAAATGAAGATTTTCTCAAAGCAGCTGTTGCTGCCAGGGGTGGGGAGTTTTATTTATTCCCATGTTTATACTGGGCCTTTTGGAATTGCCATTTTTCCAGAGTTCTTCTGTGGCAGTGGGTGTGGTGTGGAGCCTGCTGTCTCCAAAGCCTTACTTCCCAAGCTGCCAGCTGTGAGCTGGTAACTGGCCTCCCTCCCAGAGTTCCTCTTGGTTCTTTTTAAAAAAGACTTTCCCCCCGGAAAAAAAAAAAGGAATCTTTCTGGGAAAAGTTTGGTAAGGAAACATCAAATCTGGTTTTTGAAGGTCACACCCCACAATGAAGTGGCCATTCCGGCCAGAGATCAGAAGAACAACGCAGACCAGAGCACCACGCCCGCAGTGGCCCTGGTGCTCCGCCATGGCATCCGACTGTGGTCCTGGCCACCGGCTGTCCCTAGATGGGCTGAGCCGTGTGCAATGAGAACATAGATCCTAAAGGATCGCCTAAGAAGCTGTATTTCTTGAATTAGAATTCTGAAGTTGTACATCTATAAATATATGTTTATTATGTGATTGGCCTTGGTGGGCCCGAGTGGGCTGGGGAGGCACCTGTCGCTGCTCTTGCTTCCTGGCCCGGCTGCCGTTCACCACTGGCCCAGGCTGACTGCTACTGCAGTCACGAGTGCTGTTCCAGGCCTGCGCCGTCCGGGCCAAGGGAAGGGCCTCAGGTGGCTCTTAGGGGGCGAACAGGGCCTGGGTCCCTGACATCAGGCCTAGGTGGGTCACCTGTCCCGGGTCCCATCCTCTGCTGTCCCCATTCCCTTCTCACTGCAGACCTGAACAAGCACAACCCACATCTTCCCTCCCCAGCCTGGAAGCCTGCTCCTCATCCAGGCTGGGGAAAGGCCCAGGCTTATCCATCTCCATCTGCAGCCTTTCCAGGCGTCTCCCCTCTTGCCCACAGTGGGCCCTCCTCCCCCAGAGCTCAGCAAAGTCAGAGCCTCATCGCCTAGAGGGCTCCCCCACACACCCAGAGTGGCAGATCTGCCCCATGCACCTGGAGACAGGACCGGCAGCCCTAACTGGCAGGCCCAGGCCCCTCCCGCTGCTGTAGCAGCCAAAGACAGGCGGGCTGCCCGGTGGTGCCACTGCAGCCCGGGAGCTCATTGGCTGTCCCCGCCCCGGGTCACTGAAGCCTTCTCTGGGCTGCGGGCTGCCACTTGTTAACCGCAGTTGGCAAAGGGGCCTTGCCAGGTGCCCTCCCACAGGCACCTACCCCATCCCTTGCCCTCACTGGAATAAGGGCATCTCAGGAAGGCCAGAAAGGGTGGGACCTGCTCCCTGTGTTTGCCGCAGAAAGGAGGCTTTGACAAGAATATCCCACCCACTGTCGTGAGACAGACTAGCTCCACGGCCCGCCAGTTTCTTCCTTGTCCTGTGTACTCCATCTCCAAGGATGGCAAGGTGCTCTTCCCAGGGCCGAGGGGCGCGCATCTGGCTCCCGGGCTCAGCAGTCACCTAGTCAGCTGAGGCAGGTGCACACAGGCTAAGACTGACAGCACTAAGCCAGTTATGCAGTCCTTGAAATCTTGCTAGACTTTGCACCCACAGTGTGACACCACTAAGCCCATTTCCCAGAGTAGGAAACCTGCTTGGGGACCAAAGGTGACCGCTAGGGTCTCCACTTTGGGGGTTTCACAATTCTTTGTTGTTTCATTTTGTGTTTGAAATAGGGTCTCGCCATGCAGTTCAGGCTTACCTTGAACTCACTATGTAGGTAAGACTGGCTTCAAACTCATGGTGACCCTCCTGCCTCAGCCTCCTGGGTATTGGGATTATAGGTGTGCACCATCACACCTTTCACAAACACTTATTTTAAAGGTGTTTCCTGTGCCTGGATTTACTATGCTGAAGGTGATTAGATCCTGTCTTCCAAATAGAGCCAGGGGACCCATGTCCAGGAGTGTTGATGAGGTTGGAATGGCCTCACTAAGGCCAATGGGACCTTGTCTGGGGATGAGTTGCATTCTGTCTCTCTAGCAAGGGTGATAGCTCAGAGGCACAGTGCCTGCCTGGCAAGCACAAGGTCCTGATTTTGATCCCTGGTACCAAAACAAGCCAGCAGTGTCACCCTTCTGTCACTGTCATCCCCAAGAGGCAGCACAACAGATCAGCCCTTGGGTGACAGCCTGGGCTCCATCCTGGGTTGGCCATTCAATGGCTGGGTGACCTTGAGCATGTCACCTAAGTTCCCTCTGCCTCAGCTTCCCCCTTTGCACAGCAAGAGTCCAGGGTGGCTGGGAGGAGTGGAAGTTATCTAGCACTTAGCTGCTGCTGGTGTGAAGTGCCCCGGGGTCATTGGCCCTCCCCACAGAGTAACTGGCCCTGGGGGTCAGTTCCCGGTCCAGGCAGTGAACCCTGAAAGCTCCGGGCCGAGGCACAAGGCTTCAGGAAGCCTGCAGATGGGTGGCAGTTGCAGGGCAAGGCACAGACTGGGCTCTGGCATTAGGAGGAATGAAGGTTGGAGCAGAGGCCTGGTGGGGAGACAGCGCCCCAGCTAGGTCGCTATTGTTACTGCATGTCTGCAGTGCAGGACGGCGTGCTGGCCAGGGCAGTGGGCACTCCAGCAGGACGCGCCTTCATTCCTTTCACACACACTTCTCTTCTCTTGATCCCCTTCCCCTTTGCAAAAGATCTGCTTCCCTGTTTCCTGTATGTACTTTAGGGCCCTACTCTACAGTTACCACCAAAGAGGGCGCTGAGCAAAAAAGGCTTCACCATGAACAAGCAAAAGGCTCTGGGTCTCTCTGATCCCATGCAACCCTGGCCGCTTGGTCACCCTCAGGTCACCTGAATCCTCCCTGTACCCTCTCTGCCATCAGGGAGGTTATGTGGGGAGGACAGGGAGTGGAGCAAACCAGCTGTCTTCCCCATAACCCTCGTAAAAGCCTGCAGAGCCTCAGGTGGCATCAGGATTCTGGGGGTGTTTGTGTCATTGTCCCTCTCCCTGGGGGAGAGGTGGAGGCCTGTCATATCCATCTTGGGCAGGATTGTAGCATGGGATAGTGGCCTCCAGGAAGGCATCCAAGGAAGGAAAAGGCTGGAGACGGAAGGGGCCTCGGCACCACACATGTCTGTCCACTCACAGCTGCCCCTCTGTGGCCTTCTCACCAGCTCCTCTGCTGGGGTCGCAGCTCTGCAGCCAATAGCCTGTACACTGGCCAACGTCCAAGGGCTCAGACGCAGGCTGCTAGGCCCAGATGTGCCCGCCAGGGCAAAGGCTGCCCCCACCATCCAGCCAGTCTGTGTCACTGGGCAGGCACGTTCCCTACCTCCTGGGGGAAGCAGTCCTACTGAAATAGCTGCAGCTCCTCTCCCAAGTGCCGAGATGACACGAACAGTAGCCATGAGCTGGGCATGGTGGTACTCGCCTGTCATCCCAGTGCTTGGGAGACTGAGGTGGGAGGATGGCCAGGAATTCGAAGCCAGTCTGGACTGCAGAGGGAGTTCAAAGCCAGCCTGGACTACAAAATGAGATCTTCGGGGCTGGTGAGATGGCTCAGTGGTCTAAAGCACCTACTTAGAACAAGCTTAAGTCAGGCAAAGCACAGGGACCGCGGTTCAATCCCCCAGCACCACATGCCAGCCAGCCCCGCCCCCTGGTGGGCTGAGCTGGCCACACACACACACCAAATAAATAAATAGGGGCTGGTGAGATGGCTCAGTGGTCTAAAGCACCTACTTAGAACAAGCTAAACTAAGCAAAAACACAGGGACCGCGGTTCAATCCCCCAGCACCACATGCCAGACAGCCCCGCCCCCTGGTGGGCTGAGCTGGCCACACACACAAAATGAATGAATGAATAAATAAATAAATAAATCTTTAAAAATAAATAAATAAAAATAAATAAAATTTTTTTAAAAAATTAAAAAAAAAACCAACAAAATGAGATCTCAAAAAGCACCAAAAAAATAAATAAAATTACAAAAAAAAAAAAAAAAGAGTGGCCCCTGACTTCAGTCACTAAGGTCCCCACTCCAAGGAATAGAAAACAGACTCCAGTCACAGCCTGGAGCCAGGTGGCACCACCTACTTCTGGAATTAGACACGATTCTGTTCCCAGCTGCACAGTGCTGCCCTGGCCGCCAGCCTAGGGGTGCCTCCAGCAGCCCGTGCATAGCCCCATGTACCGAGCAGGCACCCCACACCCTAAACTCGAATGGCAGTCATGGCTGGGTGTCCAGGCCGCAGATTCAGGGTGACTGCCGTGTGTGCTGAGTGCTTCTGCCTGACGTCTACAAACCGCAGTCCCCCTCTGGTCCCTTGTCTTGGCACCAGAGCCCTAAGCACTAGTCTGCACAGAGAGCAGGGCTTTCCCCTCAGCTCTAACAGCAAGCACTTTCCATTTGTATTCATCGTAAATTTTTATTATAATTATCATCCCACAGATCTCCCAGTTCAGCCACTACCAACACCCACTTTCCTCGGCTGCTGGGTTTATAGGCACGGAGGCTGCCACAGCCTGGGCTGCTGGCCTGAGCAGGCCAACCCAGGGCTGGAGGCCATCCTAGGCCCAGCCTCGTCCCCAACCCCCACACCTGCCCTTTTCCAGGACAGCCCAAGCTGCCCACTGGGGTCCACAACCTGGGTGGGGTAGGCGCCAGAGGATCAGGTGGCGTGCCCTACAGCTGCCAATACTCTTAGCTCTGGAGCCCAAGGCCTCAGCTGGGACACAATTCGAGGAACTGTTGATTTGGCTGTGTTTCCAGCCCAGCAGCTGTGAGGGACACACAGGGTACGAGAGGTGAGGAGATCGCATGTCCCTCCAGGGCGCTGCTGATGTCAGTGTGGACACCCACCTCCATGGCCTCTGCATGACCCGGGACGGCTGCCCATCCACTGGCTGCTCTAGTATCTGTTTGTGAGGTGCCAGTCCCTAGCCTCCTCCCAGAGGTGCTCTAGTTCGCCGCAACCCCCACCACCCCTGGCTGCCCAGGGTTACCCTGCCCAGACCCCACCTGCCCCTTCCTCCCTGCCCTCGGTCCACTGGGGGTGCTTGTAGCTGCCAGCATCCCAGGGGCAGCCAGGAAGAGCCTGGTACCCCAGATGTGCCCAGTTCTGCACCCATGGGGTGTGGTCTGTAAGCCAGGCTCCTAAAGCCCCTGAGCCCCTTTCCTCTTCTGTTTGCCCCTGCTCCTGGCCGGCAGCCTACTGGGGATATGGGGTACCCTGTGTGGAAATCCTTGCCTTGCCTAGTGATGCCCCACAAA